ATGATTGTTGGGTTTTTTTCTCTGTATCTATGAAGCGCCTTGAGGCGACTTATGTTGTGATTTGGCGCTATATAAATAAAATTGAATTGAATTGAATTCAAACCAACCATCGTACTCCTCCTCATTAAAATTCATACCACCTTAAAAACCTGCTTTAAAATCAGATGTGTTGAAACTCATCCACACAGCTTCTCTCTCAGATTGTTATCTGGCTCGACGCAGATGCCGCAAAATGCAATATAATGCAACCTCGGTGCAACCCGAGAGAGCTGCAGCTGCGGGATTAACCGCCCTGCTCGAGAGCACTAAAGTGGGACAGAAAGCCGGCAATGTCTGCATAAATATCAGGAAGACTCAGACAGACTTCAGGCTGCACGTGGACTCTGAAAGCCTGGACGGGCCTTTAAGCGACCTCACCTCCAGCACATTGTTTGATCGAGAGCATTTCCTCACCAGCATGTCCGTCAATACTGCAGCTTCACTGAAACAGAGATTACAGTCGGAGTTCATGCTCTAACAGTAACTCGGTAACCTCCTGAAACCAGGTTGAGTCTGCGGCGCTCAGACAGGGAAGCCAAGGGTCAAATTTTGTGTGGAATCAGAGAATTAATAAAGAATAGTCCCGGGGCCACTTGGGCCTTGCGCTCCCATGAAACTCATTACTCTCTCTCTCTGCGTAATCAGACACAACAGCGGTGACACCATCTGCAACAATAATGACACCGTCCAGCCCGAGAGTCGGAGGGAGAAACACCTGCAGGTGCCTTCCTCACAGCTCTGAAACCAATCAGGTTCTTAGAGCTTGTAACAGAAAGGTGAGACGAAGCCTGAACTGAAAATTCACTGACTGAAGCTGAACATATATCTTATAAGGAAGAGAAACCCAACTCGAGAACACACAGGTTCAGATCGGAGCTCAACGGCCTGACAACAGCGCAGAGGGCGAACCACAAGATGTTTCCACCTTCTCCGCCTGCTAGAAGATTCAAACCAGCACAAACAGGTGCAGACTTCCAACAGCTGAACCACAGAGGACAATTTCAGACTCTTACTGTCCTCAGAATTAGATTCAGGCCCAACAGTGATGAAACCTGAAGAAAGGTTCTGTGGCTCACAGCAGCAGGTTCAGCCAGGCTACACTCCTCCTTGTCCTGCTCACAGCCACAGTTTCAAATTTTCAACTTTAATGTCAGAAAAAATAAAGTTCACACATGACTACACAGCAGCTCCAATCTTCATCAAAGACTGAAACAACTTCCCGTTGTAACTTTTCAAATTAAAAGTTCCTCATCTTCTGGGTGAAGACTGAATCACTGTCAGTCTAACAAAGCTACTTTTCTAAAAACTCTTCTGTTGACTGGGACTTTTTATCTCCTTATCAAATACCAGAAAACTACAGAGCTCACATGGACTCACTGCAAGTGTTAGGACCTGACATGTACAGATAAACACTTGCTGAGTGTTTTAGTTCTTTATTCTTCTCTGAAAGCTTTAAAAGCCACAGTATGTGTGGATGAATTCAGCGATGGCTGATTATTATTAACTCATCATCACTGGGACAGACAGATTTATTCTACCTCCTGATTCATTCGCTGAGAAGAAGCTTCGCCGTCTGTTGCTCTCTGTGGCATTCGGCGGTGTTTACCCACCAAAGGATCCAGTCTGCTCTGAGCTGCAGCGTCAGACCCAAACTGGAGTCTAAAAATAGCCTGAGCCCAGGGTGTACCAGAAATAGCCTGACCCGGACCGGCCCGGCAGAAGCCGTGCGGTCTGACTGCATCAACAGAGGCCTTGTCCACAGTGACAAAACGGTGACGCTGCAGATGAATCAGCACCAAGGGAACGAAGGCCTTAGTTTCCATAAACCAGCTCAGAGGCTGCTGAAGACCAGCAGAGCAGGAGCAGGGACGGCAAACTCACAGGAGATGTTCTCATTAGTCATCCTGGGAGGACATTAACGAGCCAACAGTCTGCATGTTAATGAGTATCTGGTTAATGCTTCACACGTGTATCCTAATGTGGAGAGTTACAGGAAGCTCTCTGATCTCTACAGAAATCAGAGTTTTACATATCAGCCTGATGCTGCTCTGCAAACATGTCTCACCGCTCTGCAGCCACAATGAAAGCACTGATTTGGGCACTGATCAGGTCTATTTTATCACCTACAGTAACCAACCCCAGACGAACACCACCACCCACCACATTGGGCTGCCTCGCACTCAGATTTAACAGTTTTCCAACATCACATAAAGTCATGAGAGTTATAATGACTGAAAGAGTGAGGTCACAAACACGAGCTCCTCCACAGAGGCAGGCTTAGGAGCTCAGAGGAGAGCTCCTGCTCCTCCATGTCGAGATGCTGCAGAGACAGACGTCTGCATTACCCGCTTAACTTCAGGCAGGTGGGAGATCAGGAAGGAGGGTGGAGTCAGATAACTGGCAGGTTTCACCCTAACATGAAGGTTTTTAATTGGGAACTTTTGTCTATACAAATTCTCCCACAGTGTGCAGCTCAGGATCCTTTCAGCGCCGTAGGTCAACCAAGCATCCTGGGTGGATTTAAGGAACCAGTTAAACTCTGCATAAACTCATCAAATCATTTAAATTTTAAATCCCATCTTAAATGTATTTTTATCACCTTTCCAGTAATTTCAGGGAAATTGTAGATTTCTATTTTTCATTATCTGAAGATGGTCTTGATGCTGTTATACAACTAAACTGCTTCTAACTGGCCAGTGCAGCCACACAAAGAAATGAAAGCCTGTAAATTACTGATAAGCATCACTTCTTTACTATGACAATAAAAAAAGTAAAGCTGAAGACTTTCAGGTGTCTGATTTATGATCAGATTTATGGATGTTCAGTTTTATTCACGTCAGATCCTGTAACTGCAGAGTTTGAAATCCCACCCAGAACTACAAGTTAAATTAAACTAAAGAATTATTTTACATTAATTCGTCCAAATGGAACCTTAAAGACACATCTGAGCGCCTCCTACCTGCTGCTGAGGATACTGCATCCCTCCCATTCCCACCTGCCCCCTGCTGGACATCCCCATTGGGTATCTGTGGGGGGTAGGGGAGCCGTAGGGCTGTCCAGGGTACGGCGCCCCCTGTTGCTGGGAGTACGGGTTGTTGCTCATCCCGTATAGTTGAGAACGCTTCATCGCCATCGGGTCCATGGGCGACACCTGAGGAGGAGAACACGGTGGATAATTAGTGACGCCATGAACTTAACACCATGTTTAAAGACACAACACGTGACTCTGATTCATCAGTGTGACAAACCCTCTGATGACTACAGAGCAATGACATCATCAACATTCATATTAGTAAGACTGAGGAGGTACTGCATCTTTCTGTTTGTTTCCACTATGAGAAATCCAAACTGTCCGTTCATCAGTTTTCTTCCACCATTAGCTCAGTCTTCTATATCCATCAATATCCATCTATATATCCATCCGTCTGACTGAGCACGCTCACACTGATGGACCGATGGAAAGTTAAATATCTTTATATATAAGCTCCACTCTGTGTGTCTGCTTCGGGGCTTGGCCTACTGCCACCTGCTGCAGATATCACACCACACATTATCCTAGTAACTTACCCACTGATATGGTTTGTCTGTTTTCACTGAGGTTCATGGCATGTGCTCAGGTGTGAGGGGGTCAGGTGTGTCTCTGAGAGTGAACCCTCATCTGCGGCATGCTGAAGGCCTGCGAGGCCACTTTAAGCCGGAGTCAACAGTCACGCCTGGGTACACTTTAATATTCACACTCACTCTGTATTTGACACACTGACATAATAATAGTAGGTGAGAGGAGTGACTCAGAGAGAACAGATGTTTCACCGCCGCTCCGGCAGCTAAAAATAGAAACCGCTGACGGAGTTTACGCTTAAAACAAACTGATGCAGACTTTTAATCCTGTCCTTTAATCTCCTCTCACTACACAGCAGTCAGCTGAGCAGAGTAAATAAAGAGAAACCTCAGGCTGGAGCGCTGCCAAGCCCACACAGCTGCTTCAAGTCAGGCAGAGGATCCACAGACCGGATGAAAACAGGAGGACAGGAAGCTGCTGCGACGAGGCCACGTCAGAAGCAGCCGATCCATTTTCCTGAGTACTGCTATCATCACGACCCTGGCCCAAACTGCAGAACGTGTGTTTTATTTGGACAAACCTGTGGTCAACGCAACATTTGTAATATTTAGTGTTTTACTGGCTCATTTCTTGTAATGGAGGCTGATGGGAATTGTTGGAAAAAGCAGGAAAAAGATTAAAACTCAATGGGGTGCTTCATCCTCCTCTGTTGCATTTGATCCAATATGGTGGCGGTTAGCCATTATAAATTTTAATCATCAAAAACCAGCAAATAAAATCACTGAACACAAGTTTCATTTCATATATCGTAGATTGGGACTGGCTAACTGGTGGGTGTGGCCAAATCAAGTCAAAAAGAGACTACGAAAATAAAACGGCTGATAGTCAGCGTGTTTTACCACTACTGTGGCCTATCTCTGGGTCATATAATGAATAATATGACCCAGAGATAGGCCACAGTAGTGCCACCATGTGGTGTGGTACAGAACTGCTTTAATCTCAGGAGGTTTGTCAGGAATCGCAATTTTCTACAGTTTTTTTTCTATTAAACATACAAAACTGCATCACATCGAGCCTGCACCTTTTTCCAGTCAAACAGCCCAATTTTACTCCCAGAACATCAAATTCTGCCGTTTCATCTGAGCCATCAGCATCTCACAGAAACACGCAGTCATTATGATTTATCGGGTTTATGTCGATAAATGTCGAGTCCCTCACTTCCACTTCATCATGTACCCACTGACGTCACATTTAAACACTATAGATCAGCATCATTAACACGCAGGGTTAATACTGCAGAGGCGCGTTTTAACCCAAACCACGTTTCCTAAAGCTAACCAAACAGTTTTTGGAGTCTACGATGCCGAGAACAAAGCAAACATAATAAGGGACAAACTGCAGCCTTCTCACTCACAAGCTTATAACCTACAACACCATCAACGTTCCATCCTTCTTACTGGGCCCGGGCCATATCATACTGTTCATGGTAATACCGGTATAATGTTAGGTAATGATAAGAAAATGAAAAATCGCGATAGGATATGGGTAAAACGCGCATGCGCAGCACTTTTGTTTTCATACACACATGGCGGAAAAAGCATGGCGGCAACGGAGAATGAGAAGGGCGAAAGCGGATCGTTGAATGAAACAGATGAACCAGAAATGGTTTGTAAAAATGGTGCAACTTCAGTGATGTGGAACTGGTTTGGCTTTTGTCCATCAGATTCACACCAAAGCACATTTTTTGGTACAGCATACAAGCGGGCTGTTGTTATTACCGGTATTACCGAACCAATTTTATTGGTTTTATTTGGTGTTCTTGGTTACTAACAGAAGACCCAACAATTAAACTATTTTAAACTTTAATATCTGAATACACAGCCAACGTGTGTGTGACTCCTGCATGCCAGTCATCCGATCACCAGCTCCATAAACCAACACATTAGCTCGACTACAGGAATAAACTCGTGTATGAAACGTGCAGGCTCTGAGGCGCTGCCCTAAAAGTCTTTATTTCAACTAGAAAACAAAATCATAAAATCATGCTCCACAAGGAGCGTCCACACAGGCCGAGGCCGGCAGTGAGGAGGCGGATAGAAACGACAAAGCAGAGCTGGCCGATCCACAGCAGAGATATTACAGTTTCTATTTTCCTTAGTATTTATTCTGATTTCAGTTTTTATATAAGTTTCGGGAGGTTTACAGAGTGAAAATGTTTAGAGTTTGTCCTCAGCTGACTCAGAGTCCCGTAGACGAGGACAAACACACAACATCTGCATTCATTTCATATTTCACCTCCTTTTAGTTGGGTTTATTGAGCTGCTGTAACAGTAATTTCACAACTTTTTAAATTTTTATTCTGCTAATTAAAATGCTGACTGCCACCTAGTACTAGTTTTAAGTTTAGTTATAATACGATATATGAACCTCGGCCCTTTTGAGACAACAAATGAGAGGAGAGGATTGTGCTGACTGCCATATGAAAGTCCAGTACACCAACTGAGAAGCAAAAAACCCAGATAGATTTTATTCCGGTTCACTAAATAACCTGGCCCTCTTTGTTCAGTCTTTGTGGGTGCAACGAATTCATTCTTTCTTTTTTGTGTAACACAGTGTGATTACACAAATCCTCATTTCTGTTCAGGGCATCAACACGTGGAATTAAAACTGAAACAAATTTAAAGAGGAATCAGTCTTGTTGCCTCGTGTCATCCTGTACACTGAGCTGTGCTCTCCCATCTGCCTGCAAGTTAGAGTTTCTTCATGTAAGCACGTATTGCATCATATTTTCCAATAAGCCAACACACAAGTTTAGCTAATTGAACCTGATCTCAGACACAGGAGCAGACAGTTTGCTGACAAAGATTTCTACCTGTGAAAAAAAAAATTGTGCATGGTTCATCATTTCTAACAAATAACTGTGTTCTTGTCCCCATTCAGAGGAGGTAACGGATGGTTAGTGAATGATAATTATTCACTAAAAACACATTTTATTAAAACAGAAGCTGATTTATTGAGTAGCTGAAAAATTCCTTGTTTGCATCCAGTCAAATGATCCTGAAAATAAATTAAGGGATCATAATTCCATTATTCAATGGTGACTTAATCGCCTGCAGACCGGCATTTCCATTGTTTTCTGCTATTTTAAAGACCTGCTAATAATTCGAAATAATAAACTGTCGATTATTCCATAAAGAAATCATTTTTTAAAAAAAAGATCTTGTGAGTCTATTAACTGCAGTTAAACCGTGACTCTGACGAGCTTCTACAGTGCACCGCCGGTCCAGGTAAAGTGACACTGACATGGAGTAGGGATGACCGGGGTTGAGGCCTCCTGCAGGCCGGGCTGCAGCGGCGGGTCAGCCAGTGTGTTAGCCCCAGTGTTGTGCCGGTGGTGATGGGCACATGGCTAATCTGCATGAGTGAAGGTCAGGGCTCCCGAGCGGAGATGGGGCTATTAATAGGCTGCCTGCCAAGAAAGTTGTGGCCGGAATCAGAAGCTGAAGTGGCCGCTGTTGCAGGAGGAAGCGTCACCTGATTAGACCCGAGTCCCCGCCACACTGTCTTCTCCCGGCGGGGTAGAGAAACAGATGAAATCCGAGGAAAGAGCTTTATTTACCGGTTACCCCTCAAAACACATCATTAGCATACGCGAACTGTCAGATTTGAGCGGAGCTGTCAACCGTCAACCCTGTCACCATTTAAACCGCGATCTTTTCAAGTGTAACAATAAAACTGATTACAGCCACCCAGTTTACATTTTTATATATATTTATAACAAATTCGACCTCTTAGAAAATCAGCAAGCTGCCTACTTTCACACACGAAGGCCTTTGCCGTTAACGACAGCTATATGCTAATGATAGCTTAGCCTAGCGGGCTAAAAGCGAAGTCACCTTGGACACAATCGAAAACTTCCCCAGCTTCTGTCATCACGAACAGTCGCCAATGCTTGTCATTTATAAAAGCAAGTAATCACACAATACAATTTGTTTGCTTTAGAGTCCTAAACGACTCACGTGGGTGCGGTGCTTAATTAATGAATCTGTCTGCAGTGAAAATTAAAAAAAAGAAAAACACACACCTAGCTTAGCAGCTAGCTGCCGTTAGCTATTTGGGTTAGCATCGCGGCTGTTAGCAGCTAGCAGGTTACCGGTGGTGCGATGTCCACCTGTCATTAGTCAGGTTATAAACGGTGTTAATAAGCTGTTATTCACCTGAGCCCTGCCGCCACCCTGCCCGGGATTCCCTGGGCTCATGGTCGGGTGATTTCTCTGCTGTCCTCCCCAGCCGTGAGCCCCGGAGCCGTACTGGGAGCCCATGTCTTTAGCCAGCCCCATGCTCGGCTGTTGCTGTGCGGGATTATTATAATCTGGATATCCACCTCCATAACCCCGCATCATCGGACTCGGAGAAGTTAATAACTGGTTCAAAGTTGGTGTAGCCCCTGACGGGTGCTGCTGTTGTGGCTGCTGCTGCTGCTGACCCTGTCCGGGAAACCGCTGAAACCCGCCGCCGCCGCCGCCTCCGCCTCCAGCCGGGGAGCTGCTAGCAGTCATCACCGCCTTGCTGTGATTAGCAGCGGTCGAGCCTGCGCCGCCACTGCCGGGGCCCAGCAGGTTGTTCCCCTGGCGTGACGGGCTCATCATGCCACCGTATCCACTGTTCCCGTACCCGGGCCGGTAGTTCGGGTAGTGGTTGTAGGGGCTGTTGTTGCTGTAGCCTTCGTGGGAGTTGTGGACCTGATCCATGGTGCTGAGTACGGAGCGCGCCGCTCTTACCCCAGTCCCTGGGCTTTGTTGTCCGCCATGTTGATCGAAGCTAGGCCCTCCTCTTCCATTCCCATAATAATGATTAAACTCGGAGCTGGTCCCAGTCGGAGGAGGGTTGTTGTCGGTGCTGCTGGTGGCTGATCCCAGCCTGGCATCCATCCGCTCCTCCTCCTCCTCCCTTTGATTCAGCTCCTGTGCTCGGCTGCTCCCCTCCTGCAGGATGTTTGCTGTGCATCCATGCTGCTGGACGCTGCTGCTGATGGTGCTGATGGTGTTGTTGTTGTTTGTGTTGTGGTGTGTTTGCAGTTGGAAGTGGAGCTGCTGGACAAGCTGGCTGAACGACGGAGGTGTTTGGTGGAATGAGGAGAATGATGATGACGATGATGAAGATGAAGGAGGAGGAGGCTGGGGAGGTCCAGCACCACCGGTGGCACCACAGATACCTAACGTTTTCACTGGATGCCCACTGAACATCCCCGTCTCCCTGCTCACCGCAGCAGAGGCACGGCCGGCCTGGCCTTTTGTCCCCCCCCTCTCCGGTCTCGTATCCCCCTCCAGGTTCTCCACTGACATCACTCATCCCAGTCCTTCACTTCTCCTCATCTCAGGGGGCTGATGCCACCTGCAAGGCCACAGGTGGAAAGAGGGCGGTCAGTGGCAGAAATTTCTCATAATAATAAAAAGCCCAAAAACCCACTCTTCAGGTCTCACGCCTCCTATGACCTCTCTAATAACCCCGGTCAGATAAGCCTGCAACACTGATTGGTGTTTTTACCTTTTCACCCCCGAAATACCTGAGCCATCCATCAGCAGCTGCAGCGGTTCTTCTTCTCTGTGAGGAGGTGGAGGGCTGATGCCAGGACATTTTTTTTCCTTTAAAAAAGTCTGATAACCAGATGAGTTGGAGTCACTTTTTCATGTTTTGTGACTAATCTTATGACCGTGCTCCTCATCCTTCCTGTTTGCAGCCACAGAAAGAGCTGAGATGTTCCCGAGTGCTTAAAATTATTTAGAAACATATCTCTGTGCAAAGCTTGAAACATGAGCACAAATGATCTTTTTTACAGTCTGAGGGTTGGTCAGTAGAAATAAGCAGTTTATTTCCCCAAATAGAAAAGCAAAACAAAAACATAATCCTGAATCTTCACCAGACAGAAACAACGAGAGGAAATCATCTTGGTGTTAAATCAGCAACAAGAAACACGAAAGCTGAGAATAATTATCTGAAAGCCGTGTGCACAGAAACAGCTTACATGTGAGTTTACGTTCTATTATTTAGAATCAAATAAAACACAAACATCACTGATCTTCAAACATCACCTCACCTTCTGACTAACGACAAACAAAATGGGTCAGATTTTTCAGCTTATATACTGAAACTAAAGATTTAAGGTTCTTCTTTTTGCTGGACATTAAATACGAACAAGCAGCAGAACATCAACATTTGACAATTGAAAGGAAAAACCTCTGACTCTAGTAAATGCAGTCCATCTACGTCCCCCACTGCTGCAGTATAGAAGAATCCAAGTTTAATTTTAGTGAATTGAAGGCCAACACAATTGAATCAGATGATTCATTTTCCCCACAAATTTCAGATTTTATCAAGTTCTCTCCATATTTTTACCCTCATCATCCACCTGCTGTAGTTCTGTCCCATCAGTGAGACCTGCTTCACAGTTTGAGAACCACTGCGCTGTAAGGTTGGGGGTGTGGGGGGTCTGTGGGTTCAAGTTGCTGCCGTGTTTTGGGTCTATTTGTCCTCTTAGAGCAACGAGTCACTGAGGGTCACCAGATCAGAGCGGCCTCTCCGTCCATGAGTCCTCACTGAGGCTGATGAAGATGAGGAATAAGAGGCCTTCACAATCAGCCAATCTCACCCAGTCTGAGATTTTAGCCGATCTCAAAACCATGAAAACACCAAGTGAGAAAAGCTTGGTGTTCATCCCTCCAGGAAAGAGTCTGACTGATGGCTCAAAACCTTCTTAGGATCCTTTTTGCAGGGTTTTTCTCTCATTTTAGTTTTTTCAGCTGTATTAAAATAATGTGAAGGCTGGGACTGAGAGAAGACGCTATGGTGACCCTTTTATTGTCAAAACTAAAAATACTCTCACAGCTCCACATCATGCTCAGCGTCCTGCTCTCTCCATGCTCTTAAACTACACCGCCTGATAAACAGGGACCATTTCACCCTCCTGAAATCCCAGTTGAACTCAGACCTGTGTGCACATTTCCTCACTGCACTGTACTCTTCAGACGAGCAGCAGAGTTAAACCTTCTTTATTTTAATGACCAGAGGATATTAGTAAAAAGAGCACCAATGAGAAAGAAGCATCGTTTACATGTTTAAATATTTAAAAGGAGTAAATATATTTATGTATTTATGTATTATATTCATTTATTTATTTCAATAAAAAAGTCTGTGTATATGAGTCCAGCTCTGGATTATTCTGTTTGGAGATTAAGTTTTTATTATTCACCTTTAGGGCCAAACCTGCAGTTCCTCTGGTGTCCAACAGGGGCAGCAGCGAGTCAGTCCCCATGGTAAAGCTAACCCCACAAGAGCTTCTCAAGCTAACAGCAGAAACAAACATGTTTACATCCTGATACATTTTTACTGATTTTTTGGTCTCTGTAGACCATTTCCACCTTTACCTGTACGGGGGAGGATGTTTTTATAAGTCACCCATTTAAACTGAATTGAGGCTTAAAGTTTGTGTTAATAGGGGGCGTGGCCTCCTTAACCTGGATGGTGACGCAGGCGCCGGTACTAACTAGCTGTCTGCTAACCTTCACCTACCTGAACTGGAGCTCTGGATCGTGTTTGTGCTGTTGCAGCTTCCTTTTAGTGAAACTATCTGAAGTGTGCGCCTCAGAGAAGAGAAGAAATCATCCACATGAAGGTTTCCCATGCACAGCTGCTGCTCTGCCCTCAATGAAACATCTGCCTCAGAGGACGTCTCCACCTCAGCGTGCAGAAATGCGAGCATGAAGGAGGTCCATCAGGGACCTTCCACCACAGCACTGGGAGCAGCCCAGTCAAGTAAAGCAGAGAAACTGGGTCAAAAAGCAGCAGCAGCTCTCAGGAACGCTGTGATGGAAACCAGCGCTCTGCTCTGCTGCTTGAAACACAACACCCAGAATCAAACTGACAACAACCTGAAAACATAACCATCACACACTCAGGTTAGAGATACAACAACCGACACACACACAGACAAGAGATACAACAACCGACACACACACACACACACACACACACACACACACACACACA